TTAATAAAGTAATAACGCCATTTTTTTAATTTGAGATCATGCATTCAAGATTGAAATTAATTCTAACCTTCTACGCAGCATAAAGAAAAACACACGCAGATCATGCCATTCGAAAACATTGCGGCATATTTCCATTTTATGTCAAAGAAGTTGTGGCTTGAACACGCCTTTCAAAGTTATACAAATGTCCAACTATTAAAAGGTAAATAAGAACATGATTTATATTCTGGTATCGTTCTTCTTGGCATGGTTGCTCTTACATAGCTCAATGTTTGATTGGCCATCACCTTTGCCTATTAGTGTGAATAACATATTACTCGGGATTAGTAAAAGTATGGTAAGGTAGATTCTTAATTTAATGATATTTCTTTGAAATAATTCTTTTTAATGAAATAATTTGAATAGAGAAATTAGGTAAGTTTATTGATGGTTTGCAATAGTGATCATTGATCCTAACAAAATATATCATATGAAATTTATAGTCTGGCTTCTCCGCGCAACATCAGCCAAAGGAATCTTTCGCCATCTTGGAGATGAGGCGTATGTCAACAATTGGCTGTCCTCAGTCTTGCGAAAAGATCATCAGAATCACATGTACCATTTATTCATGATGAAGAGACACACCTTTTACCATTTGCGAGGGTGCATAATTATATGAAGCTTTTCGATTGGTTCATTACCAGAGAATCATGCGAAGCAAGAGAACTTCAGTTTACCCATGGCTAAAGCGAATGCTGTTAGTAGAATAGGAATTTTTTTAGGTAAGGAGTGAGAGTTTTGGTAGTTGACCGAATGCCTTCACTTTCTAACCGCGTTCCCTGACTTTAGACTACGATTGGTCATAATACGCTAACATAACAATTATTGATGTTAGCGGAGCGAATGGTAGTGTTTTCCTTGAATTATTGTCCTTGCATCCGACATTTAAAGGAATTCTTTATGAACTTCCTCAAGTTATTTGTTTCTACATCCGAAAGGGTGGGTATAAATAAATAAATAGATTTGATTAAGTAATGAACATTTAGAATTATTCCAACCATCCATGAACTAATGGAACAAATGGATTCCAAGGTATAGAAAGAAAATCACAAGGAAATGTTAAATATGATTGACTTCTTCCCGGGTATTTGCTACCACTCTGTTTTTCAACGTCTGTTATTGACTTACGTACGTTATTCCCGTGTTGATAATGTTTCTTCCAGGCAATTTCTTCGAAAATACACCTCCAAATGTAGATACAGTATGTATTTCCTTCGTCGAATATTTCATTGTTGGAATGACATCAATGCTACCAAAATTTTATAGTTCATGATGGAAACGAGATTAACAAAAAATGTTACTCTATATAATCCACTTAAGCAAAGAATAATGATAGTCGAGCAAATAACGGACGAACCAATCTTTGATCTCATGATGACAGCGTTGGATTTACAATGATGCGTTTGTTGAACGGTAAAGAGAGGACTAGTGAACAAATTTCGAGATTATTGAGATTATTGGAAATGAATGGATGGAAGCCTGATAGTATTGTACAGTGTAGAGGAAATAATTAGATAATTGAAGTACTGTCTAAGTAAATGAAAGTTCAGGTGTCAAGGCACGCTCATACAATAAGAGTCAATATACTTTTACAATTAAGAAATATTTATTTGTAACTGTTTAATAGGAAAAATAAAAAAAAAAAAAAGGTGATGCTAATATTCAGTTAATTTTCAGTTATCTGTTATCGGGAATTTCGTTGTGTTGCAAATAATTCAAACTATTTTCACCAAAGGAAATAGGTTATCAAAAGAAACATCTAATTCATTTACGAGATAGAAAACCATACCATATATAGGAGTTCACGTTATACCTGGAACATACGTACAATTATAATGATTGTCATTAATAATGCAATGTTATGCATCACACAGGTGCCTCAAATGCGGTGTGGCACATTGACATTTTGGATTAGAGATATTTATTGTTATGTAATTTAAGCACCCAGTAATTGTTTTGCATTTTTTTTCGTTTCGAATTCCTTCCACTTTCTTGCCATAAAATTTTCATCTTTGTATATCGTAAATTTATATGTGACAGATTGTCCATTACTTTCTTTTTTTTCTGAGGAAAAAACAGGGAACACCCGATAATTAACCTTTTTTGAGCTCATTCGTCTGAATTTATTCGGATAATCTTCGTCTAATTGAAGCTGCTGGCAGAATAATAAAGAAATAAAGCCTATTGTAACTAGTTTGTGATTCGGCATTAAGGTAAATTCACTGTTATTATCGACATGCGTAAACAACTTTTAATTTAATTCACTTATCAAGGCAATATAATTCAAAAAGAAAAATGAATAAACGTAATTCCATGAGAATGAGCATGGTTCTAGGAAAACAAATACTTCAACCTAATGTCATCGAGAAGATCTTAAAGTTCCTGGATAATGATAAAGATCATGTGTCATTATATTCTTGGACATTAGTGAGTCATTCGTGGTGTCAGTTCGCCAACTCCTTGCTCTGGAGTCGCCCATTCGCATGTCTGAACCCAATCGAAAATCAAGGCAGAGGTCATCTCCTCATACAGACATATCTATCGTGCCTTGATGATAAAGAAAGGCAAATACTAATAGAGGAAGGACTTGATCTTCCTTCGAAATCAGCATTATTTGATTATCCAGTTTTTTTAAAAGAACTTCATATCGGAATGCTGCAAGGCGCCCTTGCTCAGTGGTGGGCAAAGAATACTACCTATAGAATTAAGAAAAAGGCAAATTTTCAGACATTAGAAACCACAGTGTCCGAATTATTATTCAATCGGTGTAATGGGCTAAGGTCACTGGATTGCGAATTACAAAGTCGTTATAATATCGCTAACTATGCTTCCTTCACGGGAATTCGTAAGGCCGTTTGTCAACTTAATGAACTAAAGATAAACTGCGGAAGTCTTGATCATTCTGGTTATTTATCAAGTCTACTGACAGTAATAATCGAAAGTTCGCAACACATTCGTCACATTGTTGTCACGCCATATCACGACGGTCCGATTTCTAATCAAATACCAAGGTTAATAGAATCGCAAATAAATCTGGAACAATTCAGCATGGTATCTTCATTGGCAGGTTTGTTCGATCCTCATCGATCTGCATCAATATTTTCTTCCCTCACCAGTCAAACGCATTCCCTCGTGCACGCGGATCTACGGAAGGTCTATATTGATGCGAATTCCTTGCAAATATTGGCAAGATGCAATAAATTAAGGTCATTACATTTTGTCTGTTGTCAACAAGAACAAGACATTACTTTATCGGATTCATTGGTTAAATCATGTCAACTACCGATCACGAAACTAGTTATAAATAATGAAGAAACTCAGGAAAAACATTCGTTGTCAAATATCACAGTCACCTCAATAGTAATGATGGCAGCCGAAACGTTGGTAGAGTTGGTAATGGACTCTGCTTCACCGGAACTTGTAGAAATAATTAGTACCAAAATACCACATTTAAATTCCTTGGCGATCCGTACGACCCCTCCCTTATTATTCCAATTTTTATCTTCCTCCACCATCGAGCACCTGGCACTCAGTGATGTGAACTCAAATTTATTTAGCATCACGGTTTTACAACAAATTGGTCGATTACTACCAACTACGCTTACTCATTTACAACTTGAATGCAGATATAACGTCGCCCCAGAATCAATGACCGGTTTATTAGATGAGTGCCGAGCTCCACTTAAAATCTTAAGTTTAGATGTTGAGAAATTTGACGACACTTTATTAGAGAGGATTGCAGATTACGCTCGAGAGACTGGTAAACGTCTGAAGGAATTGAGAATCGGAAGAGATACGAGAATTCAATATGATGAAGAATTATGTAAAAAGTTGACAACGGTCATACCTTCGATCAATCAAAATTATAAAGATCCGTGGCCAATTCTCATCGGTAAGTTCTCAATACTCATTTGTCATAACATTATAAATTATTTTGTTGACGCCGCAGCGAAATTGTTTTAATTTCTCTTAACAGAGAGGAGAGATCCATTATGGAAAAACCTGTTGCAAGTTCAACTTGACTAACAAGTTTTCAAGCCTTATCTTTTCAACTTCAACCACAAAAATTCTTGGTATTTACTTTTTACTGCCGAATAGTTTTTAAAAAATATTTTGCGAAACTACAGTGAAAATGTCCGAGGTCAATGATAAGAACGAGATTCTCTTTGTTAGTTATTTATCGTGACTTTATGTAATTTATTTTTTGTATTTTTTCGAGTTACTTAGCAATATCTATTTAGATTCGTATTTTTTTTGTATTTCTTTCCGTGAGATCATGGTGTAAACAACTAAGGGAAAATATATTCTCGAGGTTGCGTATTGATATTATCGTTTTAAGATATGGATATTTTTTTGTTTTATATAAATTTATTTTTTTTATTTTTTTTTTTTATTATGTACTTGTGTATGTACGAAGGTTGAGGCGAAGGTGCGTCACGTAAAATGCCGGTTAATCGACGACTGTCATAAACTCGTACTTGCGAGTTAACAAAAAACCTTAATAACTTTAAGCTTCTTTAAGATTTACATCTGGTAGTTTGAATATCCAGTGATTTCCTTTTTATACTCATGTAGTAGTTGAGCTTCAAAGTTTTACGCTCAAAATGTATTTAAAGATCTTTTCCACAAAACATTCATCCAATAAAAAAATGAATGATCCGCGAACGATACTTTTGTTCTTTGTTACAATTCTCTTCTCTTTTCTAATCGCGAAATGCTTCCCACTTCCAACCTATTCTATTGATGATCGCTACGGGATTCCGAAAGATAAACAAATCGATCTATCAAATTCTTTAGAAAAGAAAAAAATGTACGTACAATGTTTCATTCTCCAGTTCCATGTTGAAATCGTAATTTGCACACGACATGTAATTTATTTACCTCGTTTTATTGACTTTAGGTCGAATGTTCAAATTGACGTGTATAATTATTGTTATTTTTATTCCAACGGGTCAAAATATTGCTTCCAAATCACAGATGAGTAAAACAGGAAACCGGATTTACTGCATATAGTTATCGTGGAAAATAAAATAATATAACATTGCTTCTCTATTAAAAAATATCAAAGTACGTACTATGTTGATCGCATTTGTAAAGTATTATAGTGTTTAATTGTATATATAGCAGGATGTATATTATATTTTGAGAGAAATAATATTTCTCATATGTATAAATTAAATGTTAACTTGTCTAAATAATTCATTTATAAAAGATGATAAATTTATGAAAAAGATATTTTGTGATTTTGCTAGATATAGTAAACTTAAATAAGTTGCATTATTAAAATTTTTGATTTGATTTGGTTTAAATTAATTATAATTAATATTTTGTTTTATTATTATTAAAATTAAAAATAAAAAAGAGATTATATTAAAAATTTTATATAAAATTTATTGTTTTGTTTAAATATATATCTTGAAAATATGTTTTAAAAATATTTTTAACATTTCAAAATCTAAAACATATTTACAAATAATATATTTATAAATCAAGTTTTAAAAAAATTTAATCTAAAAATATTTATGAATAAGATAAACAATAAAAAAAAAACAATATATGGATTCATAAAATATAAAAAAAATAATTAAAATACAATTTAAGTTTATAATATATAATTGTAAATAATAATTTAATTATTTTATAACCTATATTTGAAAATCCAATCTCATTAATAAATAATTAAATTAAATAAAGATATATAGTTTAATATAAAGGTTTTTGAATTAATTTATAACAATTAAAAATCTTATAATTATAATTATTTAAATTTAAATTAAATTAAACTTATATTTTTGTTTTATTAATTTTTTAATATTAGTTATTATGTAGATTTATATATTAAAGCTTTTATTAAGTTTATAAAAGAAAAAAATAAAAAACTTTTTATATACATAACTATTTTTTCGATTTAATAAAATTTTTTAAAATAAAAGTATAGTTTATTAAAAGCAATTAAATTGTTTAAAAAAATTAATATAAAATATTTTTATTAATCTTTTTTTAAAATATTTTATAAAATATTTTTTATTATAATATTAATATTTATAATTATAAACTCAAAATTATATTAATATATAATAATGGAAATTCTGTTTTTTAAAAATAAGATATTTATATATTTCTTTAAAATCATTTAATATTAATTTATTGTTATATTATATTTTGAAAATTAATATTTAAAGTAACTTTATATTATAAAAAAATCAATTTATAAAATAATAAATAATCAAAACACAAATACTGTATATTAATATTATATAAAAACTTATTTTTTAAATCAAAAATATATTAAATTATTATTGATATTTTTAACAAAATAATAATTTTAAATATATATATACAGTATATATAATTTTTTTAAAAAGATATTAATAATTATAAAATATTTGTTAAACAATTTCAAATTAAATTTTATAAACAATTATTAAAAAAATATAATTAAATTATATTTATAAATTAAAAATTTATTTTTTGATATTAAAGTAAAACATTACCTTTTGTCTTTATTAATATAATAAAAATTATTATATAATTAATATCAACATATAAATTATATTATTATAAATATTAGTTTATTACTTATTAAACTGATATATTATCTAAAAAATATTAAAACTAAAAGCTTAAAAACCTATTTGTTATAAAAAATAAAAAAAGATATTTTTAAATAAGATTATTATTTATAAAGTTTTAAAAAATATAAAAATTTGTTAATATAGATATAATATATGATTTTAAATATATATTTATAAGTTTAATCAAATAATAGTATATAACTTTTTTCTTAAAAATTTCCTTTTTTAGTAATTATCTTTCAAAATTAAAGAAACAAATATTTTTCTTGTTTTTCAATTTTCAAAAGTCCTTTACACATTCTTTATTTTCATTACAAAAACCTCAAGAAAATTAAAAAAGTATACAAATGTATTAAGAGGAATCTCTAATTAGAAAAAAGCAAGTTTGGAGTTCTTGTTTTTTTTTAAAATTGTATAAGAAAGACCTGTAGCAGTTACTTTTTTATAAATCTTTCTTGGGGTTCTTCCCATTTTTATTTCTTACAAATATATATTTCTTATTAAATAATCATATTTTTTTCTTGGAAATCTTCATTGCAAACAAAAAATCAAATTACATATTAAAAATACTTATATTATTGACTTGGAGAACCAGCAATATATTCATTGTTTACTTTTTACTATTGCTTAATATAATTTGCTATATCACAAAAATCATAAAACTTTTTTTAAAAAAAATTTTCACCAAAAAACTATAATCAATTTATTTCTATCAATTGATTAACATCTCAAAACCAATTAATCAAACACTACCAATTATTCAAACAAATTCATATTATCAAAATACTACATACTGATTGACATAAACAAAACCTTTTTCGATAACAACTATTAAAATAAAATCATATTATCAACAAACAAATCAATTATACAATCAACAAACAAACCAATTACTAATCATATTAACAAAACAACAATACAATCATCACAACCGATTGATTATCAAAAAAATATTTTATCAACACTACTGTATACTTTGGACAATAGCCTGGCTATTTGTAATAAGTATATATATATCATACTTCAGTTAAATGGAACTACCAATGTATCACACTTATTCAAAGTATTCTTAGCTTTACAGTTAGTTTTTTTGCACCTATTTCTTTGCTTAATATTTTATTTTCTTTTTATTTCTTATAGTTTTTTTTACATATAAATCTGAATAGATATTCATAGCTGCTCATTACTATCTTTAACAATATTTTTTTTTCAATAACTGGTATATATTTTGTTTTATTAGGTTATCTTTGCACAGCATATACAAATTCATATTTACAAATTTATCACCGCTAATTCCTAAATAGAACTATCTAAGATTCAGATTACCCTTATCTACTAGTCGACTTATTGCCCTTCATTCTTCCTATATTATCAGCATCGGAGTCTTGATCATATAGGTAGAGTGCTAATGTGTCAGGATGTGCGCCTTCTAGTTCCACCTACTATTTGATGAATGGAAACTTGAAGAACCATATCCTAATACAATCAGCCATAGACTAAGCCATATTCAACAAGAAGTCTTTGTGGCTCTAGCTTTGGTCATATAAAAACTTGAGTTGTTTCTTTTATAGTCTTGTGGACTAAAAGGGTAAAGAAGCGTGTTTCATGCATGAGAAATGGGGAAAGCACCAAACTTAACAACGATCATCATAACACTGCCAGACGATTATTACGCTACTATATCTTTTCTTGATATACAATCCTAACGTCCATTGAATCAACATGTGAATTGGCTTCTTATGGGAAACAGTGCATGTTAGGTTATGGCATCAGATATCGTATTGAAACGATCCAATTGCCTTTACCTGGAACTGGACTTGATATCTTGTGACAGCAATTAGAAGATGTCAATTCTTTCTTCTTTGGTTTTTTCAGAGGTTTCACATTAGCCCCCTGGAGGATTTGAACTATTATCTTATGATCTGACCTGTGGAGCACTAACTACTATACTATAGACTCACAGGTCTCTATCTTTAACAATATATTGATTTTAATATTTATTTTCCTTTATAATTTAAATAGTTTACTGTAAGCAAGCTAGTATTAAACTCGCTGATCAACTGATTATGTAAGAAATGTTGTTACTTTCTTCATATATAAATTTTTCAATTATATAATTATAATAAAGTGACAATATTTATCTACTTAAAAAAAAAAAGTTTAATCAAATAATAATATTATATAAGTTATATATAATTATTATTTTTTTTTTTATTTTTTTGGGGGGGTTTCCCCTCATAGGTAAGCATTATTTCTTTATTTGATATTGTATATAACATGGTATACATCGT